TTGGCAAAATAAGTGCAACTGTTTCAGAAATTAATGTTGTATTAGATCAACATAGCAAATAGACACTTGCCTAGAAAGTAAAACTTTTTGCCATAAATGGACTGGCTCTGAAAACATTGCCCTGAAGAGTGCTATTCAGTATAAAACTCAGTCTTCTCATCCCTTTCCCTAAAACCCCAATTCAGCCTGACCCAAAGACCAACCGGACTGGAGTTAGAGGTGAAAAACAGGAGTAGCCCCCCTTCATAGGAGTAAATGCTGTGTCACCTCCACTGATAGTTCAACCATGACCTGGTACATTAGTTTGGATGACTGTAGCTTTAATCCTTCAGCCCACATCTGGAAAAAGTTGTAAAGAGTAGTTTATTTGTGCATGCATTTCCAAGTACCTGTTGAGTCCTCAGGTAGTGTCATCTCCCCTACTTTCATTCCTGACTCATATACTAAACTCCTTCTCCTCTCTCTTCATGCTACCTAACTGTCCTCACTCACTCACCTATTGCTCAACTCACTTCCCTCAATGACAACCCTTCTGCTAGCTATTTCACAAGAGGAAATTTTAACTGCACATCGATGACCTGACCCAGAAAGTCTGAAGACTCCGAAATTCCAAGACCTGAGTAAATATGATTTGGACCAGTGAGGTAGACTTGCTACCTACAGGGAAAGGCAAGGTGGAAATCACAGAGCTGCAACACATGCCAAGCCTTAGGCTGCGGCCCATGATGCCTTTCTTTTGAGGTTGTACAGACTGCCTGAAGAACACCTCACAATGGCTAAGATTTGTTACCTAGGATAGAACTATATGATCCTGTAGGCAAAAATGCTGTTATACTAAGGTTTTCTGATAGGCCTTCTGGATCCCTGGAGCCTCTGGAACTTGATCTTGTTGGAAATTGCCATCACCACCATCAGGAAACAGCACTCAAACTCTGAACTCTTGTCCAGTAGCTGCAATCCTACTACCCATGTGGACCCACTGGACACCTGGATTTCTGTAGCATCACTTACTATGTGTTCTGGATGTGCATGTACTGGGCCTTGCTTTAGGCTCTTGTGAACTTTCTTGCAGCAAGTGTGGAGATGACCAGCCTCAGAGAGGGGCTCATTCAGCCTGCCCCATCTCATTGCTGTTTATTAAGCTGGGCCAGGCAAAAATCTGTCTTAGTTTATGTAAATAATTCATTTGGTATGAATTTGTTTCACTTTCTATGAAACAGTTCTAGGAAAGGTTAGAAACCTCAATTAAGGTTTGATAAGACTGAATATATTAATTTGCTTTTCAGGAGATGGGGAAATTTTTTTATCCAATAATAATGCACTTTAAAGAAAGTAACACTTGCTTTCATAGGTTCGATGTAAGTGAACGATAAGGGAGCTCAGAGATCCTTTACCACTGTCGTCCTTTTACAAATGACGAATTGGAGTGGGGACAAAAAGTTTGCAACTAGCCCTAGATCTCACAGGTAACTGGGGAGAGTTAAGAAAGCTGAGATGTTAGGACGCCAAGACAGGCAAAAAAATGGCCTTAACAAATAGTTTTGTTTCTCTGGATCACTTGGGAAAGTTGGTTGATGGTCTTTCTTAAATGTATCCTCCGGCCCCAATCACAGTCAGATTTTACAAAATGAAAGAGTTAAGAGGATGAGGTGCCACACCAAAAAATGAAGTCAGTCCAGAGGATTTTTCGTCCCTACAGATCATCCCAGCCCCAGCTGCCTCCAAAGTCTCAAGCAGAGACCTTACCGACGGGCTGGAGGCCACACTACAAGGAGACAGCAACTCCACTCTGTGTACGGGCTTGTGACTTAATGCAAGGGAAATAATACCTTTTGGTTGGGTGGCTCTGCCAGTTTGTGCCTTCTCTGTCTCTGTGCTTTCTTTTCTCCAGTCCCTCAGTTGCATAGAACCATAATGCAATTTTGTAGAAACTAAGCAAAAAGGAATACATTAGTCTAGTCGCTTGGAACTGCTGCCAAAGGAACAGTATCTTCAACTGCTTGCCAGCCAAGTCCCTTATGAGACTGTGTAGACTCTTGCAATATTGCTCAGGGAGCGAAACGAAGAGGAAGAAAAAGAAAAGGGTCGTGCTTATTATAATTTATAGTACATGGTTATGGGAAGCTTCTTATGTTACCAGAAAGCTGGTGTCTGGGGTTTTCCTCTTCCCCAGAGGAGCTGAAAATGGGGAGGGGAAGGGAAGGTTTATCTTACCAATATTTTGCAGCCAAAATCATCGAGGCCAAAATTCCTTCCTAGAAATGTCAGTGGCAAGATTCAGAAGATTACCACCAGTTCAACAACTCCTAGCCCAGGGTCATTACTGCCATTCAACAGTAATGTCACTCTGCCCATCCCCAAGGAGCAGGCCAATCTCACAATCTCTTACCTTAAAGTTATTCCGATGAGAGGCAACAAAGAAGGAAACACAAGTGTTAAATATTTACCTAGAGGATTAGAACACCTTGACTGCTGTGGCTTCTGAGAAGCTTTATTCTCCTTCTTCTTTATTTCAGAGAATGATGGGGTTTCAAGTATTCTAAGCAAGAGGCATGATGGTGGAGGACCATGTTCCTTGGTGTGGTGGGGTGACATGCATCTAGGCGGTGCAATCCTATGTGCCTCTGAATCACTTAAAGTGTTGTGAACCCATGTCACCTCAATAAAATAAATAAAATAAAACTCTATCTTGTGTGGAAGGAAAACAAATGGAATAGTATAGTCAACACTCTCCTCAAGGGTTTTGACTTCTAACCTCTGTTGATTACATTCTCTCATTAAATCAGTGTGTCTTAGTCAAACAAAATGTGATGCCAAGAGTCGTAATGTTCTTCAAGAGTTCTCTTGCAGAACCCTCCTCTCTGTATGGATTGCATGACACAGAAGCCTGCTACAAGCTCACAGCTCTTCTTGAATGGATCACTTTGACAACAGTAACCCTATCTTATCCATCTTTGACTTCCTATTCCACAGCCTAGTTCACGGTACAAAAGACATGGTTGGATGAATGTCACTATAAATAAAAGGAAAAGAAGGTTAAATATTTGTCTTTGTTAGCTCGAAAACTTACCAACTGGAAAGCAACTGGTTAGCTAGCCCATATGCTAGCACATAAGAATGTAAACATACAGGTTGTTTCTAGAAACTAATCAATGGAAAATGAGCCTGTTTGTGTGACAAAGTTGCTGTGGAGAAAGAAGTTAAGGGAAAAAGCTTCTAACTTTCTGCCCAGGCAAATATGGTCACAATGAGGAGGTACTGATGAGCCTATCTTAGTCCTGAGCTATGAATCTACAAGTGGATTGACTTACACAAAGTCTACGCCCTATTGATAACCTTGCCAGCGAAACCCATCTGTAGAATCTTTGCTGAGTGTTAGTCCATACCCCTCATCTAACTGCGTGAGGAATAAATGTGTTATCCCAATCTGTCACTCATTAGATTTCACCCAAGACAGCAAAAGAGTCTAAAAGAGTGCTATAATTTATCTATTATTATAAAAATACACTGAAATCATTCTTAGTTTCATTCATAAATTTTGGGTGTTAACATTTGTGAAGGACAATTTTATGATGCGCTTTTTCATTCATTTCTTCACTGCCTTCTTAACTCCTTCGACATACCTGTGAGTCTCAAGGATCCTATAAGCAAAAATCTACCTCAAACATTCTCCCTTTCCATCTTTTCCCCAGTTTGGGAGGCTTGGCTCTGCTTTCCAGTTCTGGCATAGCTCCTACCCTTTGGAATATTTGATAGATTATTGTCCGTTTCCTAACTCAAATTTCAGCACTTCCTGAAAATTTTGGCTGGGACGCACTTTCTGGTATTTGTTACTCTTATTGTTCTCAATGTGGTTCTTTTCTTCCCAATAACCACCCCGCCATATACCCAACCAGTTCCATATATGCAGAACCCAAAGCTAATCACCTGTGGGGGGCAGGAACCCCAAGGCCCCAGGTGACTTAAACAAAGCAGGGTTTGGCTACTACAGATGTCACAGGACACGTGATATTTCATTCTCCTGCTAGTGTCTGTTGAAATCTCAGGAGTGAAAGGGACTTGAAAGCTCATCCTTGCCTCCGCCTCTGATTACACCAAAATATTAGCCATTAAGGAAAGATTAGCATTCCATGGCATCCTCGGAGATCTCTGAAGTGGAGTCCACTGGCTCCCTTAGTAATGCATTCCAGAGGCTCATCCATCGCACTCAGATTTTCCTCATGCTGAACCTAAATCCTGCTGGAAGCAATTTAAACCATTCCCCTTTGGCCTGTCTTTGTGTGGAAAAAGAGGAAAGCGCTTTGCCACTGCCCTTGCAGGGTCCCTTCTCAGATTCCTAGGCCCCCACAGGCACTACATTTACTGATTAAAATAAGAGCAAGCAGATACTGGCAAGGCAGGAGAAGGAGAGAGGTCACAAGAAACACTCGCCTTCTTCTCTCTGGTCGACTTTTCAGAAGCAGCACCAAGGGCTCTAGGCCCCGGGTTTAACCCCGGCTCTCGCTTCTCATTTTCCTCGGTTAAGTCTCATTCCCCTTTCACCGCCTTGTGACCTACTTTCATCTCCAGCAAAGTTCTCCCCTTGAAGCCTGCAGATAACGTGTAGCCTGACACCGGAAGCATCGAGCTGTGTGCCCGCTCTGACCTTTTCCTCCTTCCCCTAAGTAACCTGAAGGAAGGAATACAGACAATCAGATTTTTTGCTGGTCAAACCTGCTTTTCTCTCCTGACAAAAGGACACTAGGAGACAAAGTATATTCTTCCACCCAAGACGGTAAATAAAAGAAAGAATGTTGTGGGTGTTTAGGACGTTGGGAATATTTCATGTTTGTAATTGTGCATTCTGAGCTAAGTAAGAGCCACCACAAAAGACCAGTCTTTGGAAATGGAGGGGGTTTGTGGTTGTATGCTGGGGCTTGTCAGCCAGTCAGGCTTCTGTTTCCATTTTTCCCATTAGACCTCAAGTTCTAGATGGGCTCCCAAGGTCCTGGGGCATCTGACCAGGAAGCTGCCAACACTTCCCCGGATGAGTGCTGGAATGTAGATTGGCTGGCCACGTTTATTTGCAAGGTGTTTATAAAGCTTCTTGATTCTTTTTTTCCACCTGGTTTGCTTCCTGAATCCAAAGGCCTATGGACTGCAGCGTGCCACCAGGAACAAAGAAATGGAATTAACACCCTACTCTTTTCCTTGGGAGCTTCTTTTGTGTAACTTCTTATTTTTAAATTTCTCTTGTTCTCTTCACTTTTGTTTCCTTTTTCTCTTTTTTGCCCCTTCTGGTGTCTCTGTTTACACAGTTTAGAGATTGGGAAGATTTTGGTAGTTTTCCAGCTGCTTATGCACAAGTGTAATTGAGTCATTTATTTTTAGTGATGTCAAGACTTTGAGAACAGAAATAAAAGAAACATCGCACACTGACTAACTAAAATGTAAGAGTTCTCATTTGGAGGATGAAGATGCAGTGGATGTGATTATTTTCAAAGTGGAGCCTCTTCACTCCTCATTTCAAAACCAGATTTGGAACATAATTTGTTTTATTTTCAGCTGGTGGGGCCTCTAGTCTCAAGCAATGTTATTCTGTGCCCTTCCAGGCTTGATGGATGACTGGCAGGTCCTTCATGGAGAAAGCCTCATTTTCTTCCCCTTTAAGCAAGAAAGTCCTACTTGGATTATTTCCTGGATGGAAAAGATAAGGCTTGAATTAAAGACCTGTGGGACATGCTGTGATCTTCCTAGGAAAAGTGACGGGGATATCAGCTATCATTTAAATCAAAACAATTAAATAGATGTAACATGTTTGATAACCAGCATATTCCAACTATATCAAGTTACTTTTTTTCTACGCACCCACCTTTATTTTGGATCTAAATCAAAGCTGGAATTGAAGAAATAACAGTTGTTCTTTAAAAGCTATCCCAAAGTTCTAATGATATGACACAGGCATTCTCTACCCTGCTTTGATTCTTTCACTACCTTTTCCACACACCATCTCCCCAGATTGATGACAACTAATAAATTTGCAAAATATAATACAAGATATTGGGAAATAAACTTTTAATGAATAGAAGTTTAAAAAATATCGAGTGCCATAGCAGGAATCTAGAAAACTTAAATAAGGGACCAGAAAAATGAATAACTGTAAGAAAGTGAAAATCAAAATCAACAAACAACTATGAACCAGAGACACTCTATGGGTGGTGGGGGGCAGGGAGGGGAGGAATTGGGGTCAAAATAAGGCGATTGCAATTGTATGGGGAATATAAAAATAAAATTTATTTAAAAAAATAAAATAAAATAATAATAAAAAAATAAAAAATATCAAGTGCATATTTTACTCCAGGCACTGTTACAAATATTGTACGTATAAGAGAGAAGGGGGTTTATAGATAAAGATGAACAAAGATATTTAATAATTTTCCATGATCTGAGGGAGACCAGTTCTGTGCCTGTTTGTGCTTTCTGCACCAGAGAACTCACAGCAATGGAGAAGCAACTGACAAATGGGAGGATCATATGTGAAAGAGATGGCAAAGAAGTATTATCCTTAATATATAAAGAACTTTTGCAAAACTATAAGAAGCCATAGCTTAATAGAAAAATGAGCAAAGGACAAGAACAAACAATTCATTCAAAGAAACCTACAAATGGTTTAGAAATTATTTTAAAAATTTAAATCATATTAAAGTCAAAGAAATGTAAGTTCAAACAATGATATATCTTTACTTTCTATTAGAGGAATTAAGATAATAAGGTAAAACTACTCTTCGATGTTAACAGTTGTGTGAGGAGGCAGCCACATTGTGGGTGTGAAATATAAATTGTTGCAACATTTATGAAAAACAAACATTCAGTATTAAACAGAGTCTTTAAAATAAGTTTAGCAGTTTCACTTCTGATATTTATTATAAGTAAATAAAAGGCAATACAACCATTCCTGTAGAAACATATCCACTTTAGCATTATTTAAAATAATGCCTTATCTTCATTATAGAGTATCAAATGACCACTAAAAATCATACTTTTAAAGGCAATTAATAGAAATGCAAAATGCCCAAAATTTTTTTTAAGATTTATTTATTTATTTATACAAGCACTGGGTACAGTCAGAAGTGCGGGAGGGTGAGAGAACTCACCAGAGCCAGAGCGGAGAGCAGAACAGGCAGAAGGACCGAAGTACACTGCTGAGAGGAGCAGCGGGCGGCAGGAGAGGTCTGCATGCCATGCGGGACCCTCCTCCGGTAGCCGGGGAGCAGCCGGGGATCGAACCGGCGCTGCAGAGGCTGAGGGCAGTTTCGTAACCCAGCGTTCAACCTCTGCGGCCACCGGGGAGGCCCCCACAATTTATTATTATATAAAAGGGAGTTTTCATAACAGTCTGCGCAGCTAGACTGTACCATTATGAAAAGCTTATTCTATATAAAGAAACACAGGCCACCCAGGAAGTTAGTGTTACTTCTAATGATGAGTCAATATAGGAAAATGTAGTTATACAAACATATATAATGCATAAACCTCTTGCAAATTATATATTTTTTTAAAGATTTATTATTTTATTTACACAAGCACTGGGTACAGTCAGAAGCACGGGAGGGTGAGAGAATTCACCAGAGCCAGAGAGGGGAGCAGAGCAGGCAGACTGACAAAGTACACCGCTGAGGGGAGCAGCGGGCAGCAGGAGAGGTCTGCGCACCATGTGGTACCCTCACCCAGGGGCAGGGGATTGAACTGGCGCTGCAGAGGCTGCGGGCAGGCTCACAACCCAGTGCTCAGCCACTGCGCCACCAGGAAGGCCTACAAATTATATTTGATCGTTGACTTTTAGCATTGAGTCCTGACAGACAAGACCTAAAGAGAAAAAAGGAAACTATATATGTTACTCTTCTCTAGAATTGATACAAATTTATCTTTCCCAAGCTTTTGTTGTCCTGTTTTTCAACTCAAAGAGCATCTTGTTGACTAAGAAGCCTGTACTTTTTTTCTGTGAAAGACACAGATACTTTTTTCAAATGCACAGCCTTGTAGGGGCCAACTAAAAAAGTAAACACAGAGGAAATAAGAGTAAATAACTCAGAAAAAGAAACTTTTTTTCAGGGAAGTTAGAGAGTAAGTTTTTTCCCTAGAATACCTAACCTCTTAAACCAGGGATAGACCTTAGAGAACCCTGAGGAACACTCTTGGATCAAAAGAACATTTTCTCCCCAAAGTCATTTGGAGTAGACAACGTTAATAATGCAATAAACAACATTACCGGCATGCAACAACTCCAAGTTTAATAGAAGAGAAATTACAGGACCTTGGACCTTAGAGAATTATCTAATAAAAAAAAGTTCCTCCATAATATAGAATTAGCCTCAGATTAAAGCAAAGATGTGATTTAAAGGGATTTGTGCCAATCCCTCTCCCTATAAAAATATTTATAAGTCTGACTACAAAGATCAAAAAATGATAATATTTCAAACTTAAAGCACCTCGGAGTTTCTATCCTTCAGAGGCAATTATCTTTTGAGGAGTCATAAATATTTTTGGAAATCTAACGAAATTCATGGAGTCTTTGCTCAGAAATATACACGTGTGCCAAGGTTTTCATGAAATTAAAGAGCTTCAGAACTGCGCTTACATTCCTCCATAATTCCCTAGGATAAGGACACCTAAGCTAGTTCAACCTTGTTTTTCTGAGAGCATTTAAGAACAAAATGTAGCATTCTGCTTAATTGAACAATATTTCTTATTTTTCAAAATTATACGCTCCATGTGAGTGGAGTCACTTGCCCAAGAGCAGAAGGTAAATGAAACAACAGATCCAGGCTAGAAATCAGGTTTTCTAACTCCTGGGACTGCCTTCTTTTCCCATACCCTTCGTTCATTTAGAGGTAAAAACCTCCCTAGTTCCTCATCATCCTGGCTAAAAGAGACACCTATGTAACACATCTATATCTTGCATACCCTAGGGAGGATGAGGTATTACCTGGGAATACAACACTGAGAAAATACTGGGAATAAAGTGACATGCAGAGGAGTGTGCCACATCATCAACACCATGGTTTTTCAGTGAGCTGGAGTTCATGATAGCAAATACTCATTTTAGACAGTTTTTCTTTAATACACCTTGGATGATCTTCTCATTATAATCAATGCAAACCTGATGCCTTGCTCTGATTTTGGAAGCAGCAACAAATCAGAGTCTTCCAGCAACCCGAGTAATAAGACTAATGATAATGCCAAGCCTGAAAATAGGAGAGGCGGGCATAAACAACAATGCCAGAGCCCTGCAACTTATCCTCATGATAGTAAGTAATCATTATTTCTTTTATTTCCCAGGAGGAATCTGTGACTCATGAGTAAGGGAGAATTGTAGGATTCTTTGGTGTCTGTGAAAAACAGACAGAATATTTAGACGTCTCTTGTTATAACCAAACTGAATTAAATATTGCTGTCCTTTGACAGCATGGTTATGCCTATACACTGGTTTTGGCTGGAAAAACCCTCTTAGGTACCCCATTATTGGACTCTTAGTCATTCTCCTAAGTCTGTTTCACATCTCACCTTACCCAGACAGACCTCCCTGATTGTCCCAGCCCACATTCATCTTGTCCTTCTTAACACCTCCTACAGCACTTTTATGTAGGACATAATTCAGCAACACTTACTTATGTACTGCCTAATAGATCTAACTGCTTCGTGAACCATGTTTCTCCTTCCAGATTCTAAGTTATTCAAGGCAGGAATCATGTTTCTCCTGCTGCTTCCTACTGAGTACACCACAGGTATTCAAAAATTGTTTGTTGATTGACTGATTAAAATGAGAAAATAGCCAACCTTCCACCTGAATCCAGTCTGGCTGCATTCTGCTCAGAACAAGCTTTCCTACCTAATAAACTTCTGCTGTTGCTTCAAGATCTAATGCCAACTCTCCGGTAAGCCCCAAATACAGAAGAGTTCTCAGAACTCCTGGTCAAAGCAAATAGCATCATATTTCTGTGAAGATAACTAGAGAGACCTCAGCAATCTCTGTCCCAAGAGGATTGTTTTAACCCAAAACTTCAAATGGTTTATAATATTATCCTACTGCCCTCTTTACTCAATATCTAAGAAATCAGTAGAAATTCAAGAATAATGAGTTGAGAGCAATTTCAAACACATTTTAGTCAATAGTCATTCAAAATAAAAAAATATAAATATATGAGCTGTGATGGAATAAGGTCTAAAATATAATTTGACATGGAAAATTAATCAAGTTGTGTAGAAACATTGATTCCACTTGGATAAGTATGTGTATATGAATGCACAGGTACATGCACACATTTGCATTATATATGCATAGAAATCAGATGGGAGATTTGTGGGGTGGGGTGGGGGGAAGCCTGTCAATCACAGTTCTCTCTGGGAGAGGCATATGGAGCCTGGAAAAAGTGGCGAACCAGAATTTGAACATTTCACTTCAGACAATTTGCTAGTGATTTTAGATTTTGCAGTAAGCATTGCTTTGATTATGCATATCAGCATTTAAAATTTTTCCTGGAAGTTACCAGCCCAAGTCTTCAATAAGGTGACTCATTTCCTTCTCACGGCTCCAGCATGTGTCCTGAACCCCCGCCTTGCACATGACCAAGGCCTCCTCTCTGGTCTATTCAGCCAGTGCTCTCTTCTGTCTTTGGAATGTCTGACCACCCCTCTCT